AAATAAAACCAAACCAAAAACAGGAGCATGAGTTACAACAGGAAAAACAAACACAGAGCAAACACACTGGCAACTGATAGAGGGAAGACAGGAAGATATAAACCCAAGGTAGAAAAGATGGAGATCAGACACAGGTGAAGGCAAAATACAGACGGAAATAACCATGAAAAATGTGGACAGTGGAAAAATGTAAGTTAAGAGACAGACATAAAAGAGAGACAAAGAAAAAAAGTATGAACACGAAAACAAAAATCCATGAACATCAAAACACTATTACAGTACTGCTTGTTTTGGTATTTAAACTCATATGAATTCAAAAAAATTGACTGAACTTCTTTCTTCTGTTATTTAACTTAACAGCATGCAGTACAGTTTGAGAATTTTATTTCCTTGTTTTGTTCTTGCAGTGAGTTCATCAGGGAAGTCAGATACCTTGATGAGTTCTGGTACCTGCTCATTCACCTGTCAAGATTTTATGAACATGAAAAATAGTCTACTCCAGCTGAAACTCAAGCTGGGAAATACACACTCACCCAACCAGGTAACATCTTTATGTAATAGCAGTTAAACCAAATGACTGAATCAAGCATTCACTTATGAACTCTTTCAGTCAGTCAATCAGACCATTTATTGTAAATGATGATGGCTAAAAAGTGAGCAAGACTTAATAGTTGCAAAAAAAAAACTGAGGATGTTAAAGAAATTGTTCAATTGTTCACAAAGTCAAACTGTGTTGGACCACACATCTGACCTTTAAATTCATTTTAGTTTAAACGTTCTTCTATTCTTTTGAAGGTACCTGGCTTGGCCAACAGCAGTAATAAACCAAGTCTGGGACGAGCAGGAAAAAAACCTGATGGCCCATGCCTTTCTGGTCTTCCTGGCCCTCCAGGAGCTCCTGGCGTCCCAGGTAATGGGAAAAACTGGGTAAAACTGATGGAAATCCTAGAGACAGATCCACCTCTAGTTACAGACACTGTATTACAGTGGAGAATACTTAAGGCTAGTTACCTAATAGATTTACTGGAAAATAATCAAATGAAATCTTCTGAACAGATGATGTTCGCTCGTAAAGGTTAATATTTTTCTTCTGTCTCTACCAGGACACCCAGGGCAACCTGGAATGAGAGGTGACCTTGGGGAGAGGGGCCCTCCTGGACCTCCTGGCCCTCGGGGAGACATGGGACCCATGGGGCCAGAGCCTGACCTAAAGCACATAAAGAGAGGCCGCAGGGGGCCAGTGGTAAGGAAAGAAACTGGCACCATAATTTAGGTGTTCTTACAGGCTTTACCTCCCACTTCAATCAGCTCATAAAGCTAATAACCCTTTTCCACTGGCGCAGTGACATGACTGGTGCTGGGACGCATCCAGTTCTGTCTTGATGTTTGTAGAGACGTATTATTAATCCATTTTCAGCGGATTAGCAACCAAATCCTACAAGTAATGTTGGCAGCATAAGTTGCTATTTACTATGAATCTGAAGACTGTACCTGCAATTTATGAGTCTGTTTTGCAGCAGCAGCAGCAGCAGCAGCAGAGCCTCCAATAGTCACTGATATCGGTAGTCACTACTTGGAACTAGCAAACTTGCTTTGCCTTGAAAAAAATCTGTTCTGTGTCAGACACCAGTACTGCATCAGTGGAAAGAGGTAGCTCAGAGATGAATAGATGAACTGTATGATAATAGTTTAAGCAGGTAACTGTTGCTGTGATTAAAAGAAAACCTGCTGTTCTTAAACCCATCTCTCAATCGTTTATACAGGGACCACCCGGGGCGCCAGGAAGAGATGGATTAAAGGTTGTTATAGCAACTTTATTTTGCTTATGTGTCTTTGTATGCTTTTGTGTCACCATCGCCAGTCGCCATCTTGTGCCTGTCTGTGTCTGTCTGATGTGCACACTGGCTCACACATTTCAAATGCACTGTTAATAGACCCTGCTCTGAAAAGCAAACTTAACAACATTTATTAAGTTTTTTTGTTTTTTAACTGTTTCTTATACCTTCTCTCACCATTCTGACATTTAAACTCACCACTGATGCTCTTCCCATGCATGAAGCTACAGTACACCCTGTTATGAGTCTTATTGTCCACGGAAGCAAGCAAGCTGAATACAGTTTAAAAGGTTAAAACTCAATCAGTGCGTGCTGTTTCTCATCTACAGGGTGACAGAGGAGCTCCAGGTCCCAGAGGCCCACCTGTAAGTTATTATAGACGTATGGATTATAACACACTATATCAATGATAGGCATAGCCACTGTGAAATCACCTACTTGTTTACAAAGCCCTGGTGTAAAGCTTTAGTCTAAGCGTTTTAGGTGCTAGAAGTGATCATAAATGGATAAGAGGGTTAAAAAAACAAAGTCTTGCAAGGTTGGTTGACAAGCTGCATCCATACACCTTAAGTGTGCATCAGTCAAACACTCAATACCTGCTAATAAGTGCAATGTAGCATAAAAATAACATGCAAAAACTTTACCATGAAAACTGGAACACAGACTTTTTGGTCTGTTGTAATATTAGTCCACATTATTCATCAGATAATTTCACTGAACATGTTTTAAAAGGAACAAATGCCACAAACATGGGCAAAAGGTGGTAAATACTAGCAGACAGCTACTTGCTAAATCCCTTTGTGGCTGCAACCCCATATATTTAAGTCTAGAATAAATTTAAAAGGATGAGCTTACAGCTGTGATGTAAAGGGTAAACTAGTTATGGGGGCTAACTAACATTTGGAGTAATGATTTAGTGACCATTCAAGGAGCTGCACTGTTTCGGGGGCCTTCAGCTTTTCCTTCATTTTCAGGCTGCATGTGCACAATTAATTAACTAACCAATCAATTTCTCGCCTGTCTCTAGGGTCCACCTGGCTCCTTCGACTTTCTTTTGCTAATGATGGCTGACATCCGAAATGACATAATCGAACTGCAAGAGAAGGTGTTTGGGGAGCAGCGGGGAATCTCTCTGGACAGCCCTCCTCATTACAGTGGGGAAGCAGATTCTGTCGAGTGGGGCTCTGGAAAAGGAGATCACATGCTTAATACCTGACCTCTAACGTCCACCTCAGAGTAACAATTACTTGATCCCAGCAAACAACATATCAATCCTGACTCTTTGCTAAGAGGATAACAGATGCTGGCGGTCAAAATGTTAGCGTGTACATAATTCCTAACCTTATGGCTGGGATGAGCCATGCTTGAACTCTCAACAATGGTACAGACAGTAAAAGAGAGCAACTTAAATTTTAAAATCTGATGCTTTGACCACTGCAAGCGTTGTTTTGCTGCCTTTCAAGTGGATGTGAGAGTGAAGGGTGTGCGTGCAGGACATGGAGTGAGAAAGATGCCGCGTGAGCCTTTATGTCTGAGTCTCTGAGCTGTGCCTCTGAGCAGAACCACTTCAAACGACCGACTTTATCATCTACATCTCTTCCTGTTTCTGAGTCTGTTCACGAAAGCTCTGCTGTGCCACTCACAGTTTGCCTCCAGGGCACTGGTATGAGGACCCAGGCCCTGCGCTGTTACCCTCCACGGCACCTGCCTGTGGCATCCAGCCATGAACACTGACTGTGCAGCTAACCTCTGAGGGGGTCTTCAGAAAATAAAGATATATGAGTATGGTATTGTTAAAATTAAAATGAAAGAAGATCAATTTTAATAGAAAATACATTTAACACATAGAAATCACCTGGTATGTACCACTTAGAAATAATACGAAGTGATGTAAATGATTTTAAAAAGTAAAAAATGGACACATAATAATCTTTAAACTCACTTGTTTAATGGGTTCATTATGAACATGTTCAAGAAGAATGTTGAACATCTTTTAAAATTGGAGGATGAGCCAGCAAGACAGACAAGAAGACGGCTGGTCATTTATCTTATTTTATTTTATTTCATTTTATTCTATTTTTTTTTTTTTTAAGTAAATTATGAAAAGGGTAAACTGAGTGCTTGTCAAGGTTTGTCTTAATGTAGTTATTTTGTAGTTTTCAATTTGAATTTGTTGTCCATCAGTTTCAAAAGATGTAATAATTAGTTGGTTTTCAACAAAGCATGTAGCAAAAGTTACAGAGGAGAATGAGAGCCATGTTAAAAAAAAACATATATATTACTGATTATTTTGAGAGTAAAGTCAAAATGTCGAGATTACAGCTGTTGTTATAAGACAAACTGCCACAGCTGCTATACTCTCTAAAATGCCTTGGTAGATGAGTTAGTGAAAAGAAACTGATCAGTCATCTTATCGTGTCTTGTGACACAACATTCATGCTGTTTATTGTAACCATTGATACCCTAACATCTGTTCACTGCCAGCCATTTCATTTTGCCAAATCCACTCTTCTGTGTTTGTGTGTTTTTTTCCATCTGACCAGAAGCAGCTTTCTGCACCTTATACTGATCACTATACTGTACAATATCAGTGGACAGCAAAATCAGGAAGAAGGAGCACAACAAAATAAAGCAGATGTGGAAGTTAAAGCCCAAGAGGTCCCAAAAGAGTAGCGCCAGGAGCTCTAACTCCAGAAACAGCACACTACGCAGAATTCTCAAATTACACAGAGCAATAATATATACACAAATATAAAACAGCTAATAATCACCTTAAATGATCTATTTTACTTCAGTTCAGCATAATAAAATTTTTATATGAAAAATATTTTAACAAGGTTGCTAGGAGCAACCAGGAGCAGTCGCTATCAGGATTTATCCTCCCCACATGAAAATATGAACACAGTTTAAAATGTGTCCACTATAAGTATGTCTGTGAAGGTTCTCAGTCATCCAGGTCATCGTAGTCAAAGGAGCTTGCAAAGAAAAGCGTCTGGACTTCTTTAAGTTACTTGAAGACGTTTCACCTCTCATCCGAGAAGCTTCTTCAGTTCTAAGGTCAAATGGTGGAGAGTCCCAGATATAAACCTCAAAGAAGTCCAGACGCTTTTCTTTGCAAGCTCCTTTGACTCCACTATAAGTACATTACAATGGAAAAATCAATAAACTAATTTGAGACTCTAGTATTTTCATCTGGATGATTTTGGTGCTGAATAAATGTGTATAATAATAATAACATAATTATCACCAATTCAGTTTGATAAGACAACCTGAGGGTTTTTGTGCCATAAATGGATTAATAGCAATTGCCAGATTTATAGCACACTCATACTCATACTTTTCCAATTTATGTCCCAAGGAGGTTGGAGCCTGTCCCAGATGACACTGGGTAAAAAAACAGACCACACTCATACCAATTCCAACTTTGAATCTAACATGCACTGTTGCTGCACTGAAAAAGCAAGCTTGAGTAATTGTGAAAAACGGACACAGGCACAACTCACAAAGAAAGACCCAGCCAACAGTAGTTTGAAATCCAGAAACTTCTGAGACATAGTGCACTAACTAGTCAGCACTAAAAAGAGTAAAGCCAGACTCAAATTCCCTGCTTGTGTGCACAAACTTGGCCAAATAAAGATGATTCTGACTTTCGAACCAAGTGTGGATTTATTCAGTGCCACCAGCAGAGGGTGCTAATTCTCAGATGGTGCTTTCTCAAAGCAAAGCGTTGCGTTCTTTAATTTGCTTTGTGAATCCCACCCAGGTTTTTACTTACCTGATCAAAGAGCCCTGCCACCATCACATACTTAGAAGGTGTTTATATTTCTCCATGTTTTTGAGCATACATGGATTATCCTAGCATTCATGTACAGGCTGGTGCTCATCATTATGTTCAGCGCTGACTGTTGAACCATCGCGTGGCTGCATGTTATTATGAAAGGTGTAACAATTAGAGGTCAGAGGTGAAATGTCTTGGGGTACAGAGCTGTAGGGATAATTATAGAGTGCAGGCTGACAGTGAGGGCCTGTTTGAGCTTGTGCACCCCACAACTTAAGAAATTGTGAAATATGTTTGATTTGTGCTGTGATCTGGTTCACCACACATATTATTTTTTATATATATATTTATATATATTTAAAAAAAAATTTAAATATATATGCATTTACATACACACACACACATATATATCAGTGTCTGTTACGGGTGTGTGTGTGTGTGTTTCACTTCGTGACAGACTTCTCACTTAACAGCTCCACCCCCTGCCGTGCAAACGGGATCAGGAAAAACAACATGAAACAATTTAAGAACCATGTCAGTAAGAGAAAGGCAGGAGACTGAAAGAGATTATCTCATTTCCTTCACCGCTTCACATGCAATTGGAAGCCTCTTTCTCAGCCTGTAGAGGACAGTAGAGGCAAGGTCACCAGAGTACATCTTGATGCATGAAGTTCACATACCATCACTCACAATAGATTTGTCTCCATCACAGAAGATCAACAAAACGGGCTCTTCCTTATTTTACATTTTAATATTTTACATTGACATACATTTTAATTCACGTGAGCTTGTATTTCCTTACTCTAATCCTAAATCTAAGTGGGTTTCATATGAATGTATACCTGAGATCTCCTTTAAGACTCCTCTTATACTCATATCGCTACCAGCCCATGTTATAATAACAGACCTTAAAAGTATTCTCAGTCCATGCTGTTGGGATGCCAGACTCCACTGATGTTCTACAGTTAGTAGAATTGTGTAACTATTTGCTGGCATCTTCAGATGAGACTAAAGATACAAGCGATAAAATTTGGCCAGATGTTTCCTAGAATGAGAGGAATTTCCGTGCTGGCACACTATGGGCTATCCATAAATACACCTCATGCACGACAGGGCTGTCACTTCAAACAGTTGAGTGAGAGAAGCGTGTGTAAACTTCGGCTGATTCTGGAGATGCAAATGGATGTGTGTTTCAGTATGCAACCTGGAAAGTTAATAGAGTTAATATGATCCCTTTTTGTGAAATACCATGTTTTAATATCATTTGTTTGATATGCGTATCAAGAGCCAAAGATGGTCTCCCAGTAACCTAGTAAATCAAAAGACCAGAAAAGCATTTTAGAGATTCAACTCTGGTATTCCCCAAACTGTAAGATGATTTTCTACATGTAGTAACTCCCGTTACACAGTCCAGAATAACACCAAGATGCGAAAAATATTTTGCGAAAGAAAAAAAAAGGGAAAAAATAAATAAATGTTAAGGTTTTGATATATAATCCACCATAGAAGGAAATATACATGTGCACCAATATAAACATTAAAATGTGGGGCAGCCTGGTGACCTGACAATGAACCACAACATCCCCGGTTTGCGTCCAGTGCCAGATCCTTTGTTTCATGTCCTCATTTCTCTCTTTTCCCATTTTTTTTCTGACACCACACTCTCCCTCATGACATAAAATCAAAAACGCTTCTAAGCTAGGTATATTGAGACAATTCTTACAATTGATGTTGTTTGTGACATTTTGATGGAAATGGGTTATGTGCTGTATGCTAAAATGACTCAAACATTTTCTGTTGTCAGAAAAAGGAGGATTGGGGTGTCTTTATATGACTATCCAGAGGATGTGACTCCCCAGTGGAAAGCAAAGGTCAAGGGGCAAACAGCCATCACCATATGTGTGATTTGCACATTTCAAAAAATTATTTGTCAGTCCATATTTTGGACTTAGAATTTCATTCTAATTTAAGTGTTGTATGTAGACTTGCTGGTCTATACTTCTTTTTTCTTTGTTCATGTTCTAATATGGTACGCGCATTTATTCTATTACCAGGAACCTGAGATTTAGTTTAATGCTGTAAATGTAAAAACCAAAAAACACAAAAACAACAACAGCAAAAAAAAAATAGCAGAGTAGGATAAGTAAACTCCTTTTCACAAAAGGTATAAAAATAGCTTCAGAATTGGGCAGGGTCCAGCAGAAAGTCAGCATAGCTCCACATTTATCATTCATCTCTTCTTTGTTACCCATGAAACAACCACGTAGTGAAAGACAGAAGAGTCAGATACCAGCCTTAGATAAAAGTGTCACGATCCTGGGTCTTGTGACCCAGTGTTTTGAGTTTTAGTTTATTTTGATGTTTATAGTATATGATTAAGCTCATTAGCTTTTCTAGTTCATTTGTTATTCGATCCCCCTTGTGTCTTCCAACCCCTGTTAAGTCTCCCTTGCCCTTCATGTGTTTCATGTCTGTGTCTTACATTGTCAAGTTCAGGTTGTCATGTCTGCGTTTCCTGTTTTATTTTGAAGGGTTCCTGTGTTCCTATGTTCAATGTTTTCAATTTACTCTCCCCTTGTGACGTCGTTATGTTCATGTGTGTCAGCTGTTTCTCCATGTGTTTCCATTTCCTTCATTATCCTCCTGTCTGTATTTAGTCCGTGTGTCGTCAGTCATTCCTTGTCAGGTCGTCTGCTCATCCACGTCACAACTTCAGGTATCTGTGTCAGTTCACCCTGTTTAGTTTTAGTTCACCCAGTTTAGGTTATTGTTTAGTTTCACCCATGCCCTTTGCTTGTACCTTGTTTCCTAGCCTCACTAAACGGCTTGTTTTTTGTTAAATCCACGTCACGTTCAGTTTTTGGTCTGCGTTTGAGTCTTCTCTTGCAAACACATACAGTCTGCCTCAGCCAGACTGTGACAAAAAGTAAACTATGCAGATCTTTTCAGGAAATATGCTTAGAACTATAAATTGTGGGACACTGACACAGTCATCCTACCCATGGTCAAAAACCACCACAGCTACAGTTACATGATGCATATGGGCTTCGGTTCAAGGGGAGGAACAAAAATATTGCATTAACCCCTGAGTAATGATAGCCACAAGGACCCGTACGTGATAAGACAGTTCATTCAGAATAATTTCATTATATAGAATCCTTATCCGAACTCTTCTCTAAAAACAAACAACAACAAAAAAGTCTACTGGAGGCATGGCAAGAAAATTGGGATTAGTTAAATAAAAAACTGACAAAAGTCCGTAGAAGACAACACTGGTGGGTGATCATGGCTTCATTTCTGTGATTAAAAAAACTGTCTCGACATCCAGGTACTGTAAGTGAAGAACACTCCAGGATTTAAGCATATTATTATCTACATTTCTATTCTGGAAAAAAAAACCAACAAAAAAAAACAAACATTATTTCTTTGTACATGTGCAGTCACAGTAAAGAGCTATTCTATTCTATTCTATTCAAGTCTGTCATGCAGAGACGTTTATTGAGAAAAAGTGTTCACAACAAGGTACAAATGAGCCTCAAGCAAAGATGTTGCCAAAAATCATCAAAAAAAAAGTGGTCCACTTCTGATGCATCATTCTATGGAGAGATCAGCCTGCACCAAACTGATGGCAAATAAAGAGCGAGGAGAAAACATGACACATCTTTCTACATCACTTGTAAAACACAGTGGAGCAATTGTCCTGTGAGACCTCAGTGTAGCATTCGATAGCTTTGACCACAATATTCCACTTCAAAGACTATAACTCTGGCATTAAAGGAGCTGCACTGTAGTGGTTTGAATCATATCTGACAGAATCCAGTTTGTGCATGTAAATGGGGAGCATTTCTTCTCCACTCACCTCTTCTCAGTCTCTGTGTTTATTCATTCATTCATTGGCTTTTTCTCCCATAGTATCCAAGAATATGCATGCATGTATGTAGACCATCCAGGTCACAGGTGATTAGAGATCTGAAACACATACAATCACATCTATAGAAAATCCATTCTACTAGACAAACTAGACTGTAACTCTGCTAAGTGAACCCTGTGTGAGAAAGATGAGCCCAGAGGAGGACCTGTAAAAGAAGCTGCAGAGAAGTTGGGTCAAACCCAGAATCTTGTTGTTTGCGATTATGTTTTTCACTTGCTGCATGGCCACTAGGTAACACAAACACA